CACACACACACACACACACACACACACACACACACACACACACACACCATCACAGTAGAACTTAGAAAGGCATTCCTTCCAAATGGTAATTCCCAGAATAAAGCCTGTGGGAGTCAATAAGATGTCCTAGAAAAATTACCCAACTCACTATGGCTAATGAGTTCCTGTGTCTGGCATTCTCTGAGTTTGGGCTTTCCATGAACCTTCTCTTTCTCTCATCAGTTCTGTTGGTTTTAGGATCCTTACATGGAAGGATGAGAAGCAGTGATTGAAAGAAAATGAAACAATAGTCAACATAACTGTATCATAAGATAGTAAAACATAGAACAGGAAGAGAATCAAAGTAAACTTGTAAAACCTACCCACCTCATTCCCTCTGGTGACAGGTGGAAGCCAAGGACCTTTTTACAAGCTTACTTTGATTCTCTTACTGTTCGATACTCTCCTTTCTTATGATACAGCTACCTTGACGACCATAGCAATTTACCAAGTAGAAACTGGACAACTTCAATTGTGGTGTCATATGTGCTGTTGGTCTATTTGGACCAATCTCGTGTAGGACACTGCAGTCATTTGTAAGAATCATAAAATTTTAGTGCAAATGAATTGATATTCATGATCCATAATGGACCTTAAGTGAGCATAAAAATTAACTTCCAATAAGTTAAGTAGACATTAAATTAGTGTCAGAAAAGCATACCAAGGCCTTTAATATGAGCTAATCGGCTAGGGAAAGCATACATGGTCAATTTTGAATGAAATTCTTTTCAAGTCAGATTTCCCAATTGCTCTTTAAATGTCCCTGAATTTTCTATAAAATACACAATTCAGAAAGACTTGTAGTTTTTTTTTTTTTGCTTTTCAATCTGATACCTTTTGACAACAGTAAAAACAGATCTCTTCCTATATCTAGACAGTATAAAGCAATAGCAGCAGACGTATTGACATGTGTGTTTTAAAACTCCCAACAGGAAAAGTATCTGCTGCTATGGAAATTCCAGCTTTTAATAGTTAAGACCAACTATCACCAGGCTGCAGATCCTGAATCATGCTTGTAAGGCAATGGTTCTCAACCTGTGGATTGTGACCTTTTGGGGGGCTGAAGAACCCTCTCACAGGGGTTGCCTAAGTCCATAAAAAACACAGATATTTACATTGCGATTTATAACAATAGTAAAATCACAATAATGAAGTAGCAATGAAATAACTTTGTGGTTGGAGGTCACCACAACGTGAGGAACTGTATAAAGTGTCGCAGCATTAGGAAGGTTTCGAACCACTGATCTTGAGGTAGGGAAGTTACCATGTTCTGTAGACAAAGGAAGGTAAAAACATTTGTTTCTCTCTTAACCTCCAACTCTGTTTTTCTGGAAGAAGACGTTCTCTCTAGCTGGTCCAGAAAATAATAGAACAGCTCAAATTCTTCCTTTGGAGGGTCTTGCTTTCCTGTTTAGAACAATAAGATTATTATTGCATTCGGCATTCAAAGTTACCTCTCTAGTTTATCTTAACATTCACACAAGCTCATCAGACAGGCAGTCCTCCCAGCATACAATATGTGCTTGCTTTGACTTCAGCTGCTACTTGGCTTAGTTAGCACTTTCTTTGTTTGCATCAGTAGCCACCAACCCAGATCTCTAGAGGGGAAATTCTATTTTGCAGGAGATCTTTGAGATAAGCTCAGGCACAGCTTACCCCTTTCTGGCTGTCATCCTTTCAAGGTTCTCTTTCAGTAGCTTGTAGTAACAGTGCAGTATGGTCCTCTGTGTACAATAGGTATGCAGAGAGCAGACTTTGGCAAACTTCTGAAATCTGGTCGCTTTAGCATCAGCAGAATCTAGCATGGGATTTGCAGAAGTTTATATCGGAAGACAGGAACCTGTGATTTCTAAACTGTTGCCAAATCACTTATTAGCTATCCTTCAAAATTTCGAAACCGAATTTGGAGGAAAAGTCATTTATAAAATTATTTTCATATAACCCTCACAGCATACTTTTGTGAGTTGGTACACATTTATGTCTATGGATATGTGTAGGGTTTGAGTGAGCAGGATTAGGGAGGAAACAGGCAATAAAATGGGGGAGAAAATATTTTTTTCTTTTTTTTCAGACTCTTCTCTCTCTTTTTTTTAATAATTAATTTATTTTTTCTGAAATCGTAATTCATTCACACAGGGGTTATAAACACAGAAAGGCAGGATGTGGGGAAGGGAATGACACTGGAGTGTGGGTGTTCAGGGGGAATACAGATATCTTCAGAACCAGGTATCGGCTAGGTGGAGGTTCAGGGGACAAGTAAGTCACTATGACTCTGCCTATGACTCACTTGTCCTTATTTAAGTTGGAATTGTCTGCCAAGGCTACCTATTTACAAGGTCTATGACTACTCAGGCTGGTAAATTTCCACAAAAGCTGCCTGTTTACAATAACTTATAGCCATCTGTTTCAATGTTTTTCCACAGAGACCCAAGACTTGGTGTTAGTATACATATATGACTGGCCTATTGCTGATTTTAGGCCTATGGCTGATTTTAGGGCTTCAGTGTGTAAACAGGGCTGCCCCTGACATCTCCTCCCTTCTCTGAGTATAGAAGGGCTGTGGCAATTCTAAACTTGCGAAGGCAGGGATAGAGGCCTGACCTTCAGTAATTGAAGGAGACCTTGTAATGGCTCCAGTCCCTCTGTCGTTGTCCAGTGAGGCATGAGGGCCATACCCATCCTGATGTCTTTTTCCTGGAGAGGGGATACTTTTGACATCAACCCCTATGCAGTCAGCCTTGTCCCTCAGGGAACCCAGATAGATATTTTTATCTTTTATTTATATTCCCTTGCAGTGCTTAGCCTCGCAGCCTAAGCAAGAATTCAGATCGCCTGTCAGAGGGGATTCTGGGTGGCCCCTCTCTGCTTGGTCTAGGGGCAGAAGTCCCCACTTTTAGGTTGGGTGGAGATGGGTTTTGGGAACACCCTGTATAAAGTAAGAACCTCATCTTGAGTCTTGTGGTCTTCCATAGCTAACTTATGATAATGTATCTGAGTAGGTTTTGCTACCAAATTATTTATCTGTTGTATCACAGAGGTAATCAGCCTATTTGAGGCCCAGGGACCAGCAGAAAAAAGCAAAAAGAACCCAAATAATGGTCCCAAGATGGGAGGAAATAGGGTTGACAACCTTGGAGAGGCTGAAAACCAATTCTTGTACCAGCATTCATCTGTCTCTTTCTCTCTCTAATTTTTCTCAGAGCCTTCACTGACCTATTTCATGCTCTCTTTAACCCTCCTTGTCTTGTCTATGTAAAGGCAACCTTGTTCTTTAAGGGCTGTACACAGTCAAGAGCTGTACACAGCCTTTTCTAGTATAATAGAGTAAATCAAGTCCAATAAGGATCTTTGCGATTTTAGGAGGTCTCTTCAGACAGCAAAACGAGGGATTTCTTCAGATTAGTGATGTCAATCTCCAGCTGTTTGATGTTCTTGTCAGTGGCCCTTCAAAGGTCTGAGTAAGTTCGGAGGCCAGCATCTGGATTAGAACTTCTAACAGCAGACGTCATGGCTGATTCATTTTTACCTGGAAAGGAAAAAGAAGGGAATTCTCAGGGAGATTTCTCTTCCCTGGATGTAAATTTTTATTCATCTTATTTATGGTTGGGCCTGGCTTTGTGGGGGTATCTATTTATTTCATTAATCTTTTTGGTAGCCGGTTAGCTGTGCCTTCTGTGGTATCAGACAGGCATATCAATCCTCGGCCCCATAAGGGAACTGGGTCTGGGCCATTCCCTTTAAGGGTAAGAGGGTCCTTCCCCATATCTGTGGCAAAGTTTTGTTGGTCTCGGTGGTGCCAGAGGCAGTCAGCAGCAGATTTGCCAAATCATGGACTTGTAAGATAGAGGAAGGATGATCAGAAGTTCAAGCTCATCCTCGGCTACATGGTGAGTTGAAGACCAACCTAGGTCACATGAGACCTTCTCTCAAAAAACAACCCAAAGCAAACTAAACCAAAAGGTGACAACATAAGAAGAAGGAGACAGCTTTTTCCAGAGTCACAAAGGTAACAAGTAAGATGACAGGTAGCATGTTGAGAAAGCAATGGTCAGAAAAGGGAGAAGCCTCTCTATCTTTTCCATGTTCCTAGTTCTTTGCATGGAGTCTGGCATGAAAATGAACCTGTTGTTATTATTTATTTATTTACCTTATTTTTTGGTGTTGGAGTGTTTTGACTACACGGATATGTTCATACCATATGTGTGCCTGTTGCCTTCAGAGGTCAGATCACCTAGAGCTAGAATTTTATATGATTGTGAGCTACCATGTAGGTGCTGGGAACAAAACCTGGGTTCTCTGCAAGACAAACAAGTGCTTTTAACTTCAGAACTGTCTATCTAGTCCCAAATAAACCTCCCTCACCAAGAGCCAAGGGCCTGGCACTTGCAAGGTAAATGCTCTATCACTAAGCTAAATCTCTACACCTCACAAATTGCACTTTTAAAAATACAGTGTCTCAGGTAGCTCAATCTGGCTTCAAGTTCACTATGTGTCAAAGGATGACCTTTTGACGTTCTTATTCTCTTGCTTCCACAGCCCAAGTGCCTGGCTATAGGCATGGGCCACTCTCAATTCCCAGTTTATACAGTGCTGGAGATCAAATCCAACACTTTGATGTATGATAAGCAAGTGTTCTATACCTGAATGAAAATAAAAAATTCAAAAGGAAAGAAACATGACTGCTTCTAGGCATGGTGGGAAAACATAGTCAGAGGCAGGGACAGTCTGAAATGGGCCATGTCTGGAGGGGACAAGGGAAAGGGAAGAGGGAACCAGGTGCAACAGTCAGGAGGCCCAAAGGTACAAAAAAAGCAGGCACCCAAAATGATGGGATTATATAGGTAAGAGGAGCCCAGCTCCCTGGCCTGGAGAGTTCAGTGTAGGGGGCTGGTTGTGGCAGCCAGGATCGCTCTGTAACAGGTAGGGACTGAGAGATGCAAGGAGAAAGTAGCAGCTAGCATCTGCTTTGATATGTCAAGTAGGCACCTCAGCCATTTGTCTTAGGTTTGAAACCTAACATTACCAACTGAACTACAATCCCAGCCCTGAAAATTGATTGTTGAATCAAAGTTATGGGAATGGGGCTGTCAACGGACCCAAACAGAGTAATCCAGGGAAGGGGACAAACCAGCACTGAGCACAATGATGTGACTGTGCTTCGTGATTGTTCTATGACTTCCTGAACAAACCTCATTCCTGAATTGGTTGAGCCTCCTGTTTTAGGATTTCAAGGTTCTACTTCCTCCTTTAAAAACCCTTATCACTCACTGATCAAGCAGTGTGAAGGCACTGTGGACTGGTTTCTCTGTGACGGCAATACTGGCCTTTTAACCTATTGCACTCAGCCCTGGGGTCTGTAGAATAGAAGCTCAGTAGATATTTCTAGAATAAATAGAGGAAAGAAAATATGAACAAAAAAGAAGAAACCTGTTATGGATACATATGGCCATTTTCATTTCTCAAAGGAACAATTGATGTAAAGAAAAGGTGGATTATCCTGGTTCCTGAGTTCATGCACTTAACCATCATACACTAGTACAATAATGCCAAGCAGTACAAAAAACTGCCTAGTTAGGCAAAGAGAATTTTACTCATGACAGTCAAAACAGTAGTTTTGATAGTGTGGTGCTAGAATCTAAAGCCTGATTGTAGAAGGTTAAATCAAAGTGGAACATGACAGCCCTTTGGTAGCTCTTTCTACTTACCACCAACAACCACATAGTACCTCTGATTGATCTTCCTAAGACATTGGTTCCCCATATTACTAGCGTGGCAACTCACATTCTGCCATATGAATGGACTGGTAAGTTAGTAGCTGGCTTTCTTTGCAAAGGAGAGATAATCTTCCCCAACTGTCTCTCACAATACTCAAAACTCTCAGCTCATGTGCTGCATGTACTCCTAAAGAACTCCCCAAGTCTTGGCCAGACTCATATTTCTTGGACAGGTCTCTGGAGGCTTCCAGTAAAATCAAGGCTCTTGTGTGATCTGCTGAGTGTTTCTGGCAGTGAGCCTTTGGGACATAGTCTATTTTAGTTTTGTCCATTTTACTATCGTCTTCTAGCAGAAATAGACTTTCTGAATTCTGTCCCCAAGTGCCTGTGGATCCTTCATTGATCCCAGGTACAGATAAATGGTGTCCATTGTACCAGACATCCATCTGTGACTCCTCTCCCCCACAGCTCACATACTTCTTGTTATTAGAATCTCATTTTCAGAATAATATGAACAGGCTTGCTGAGAATTTAGTCATTTACCTAAACTTTGTTGCAAAGCTGGGATTTGAATTGAACACTCTCTTATACTATTCATGGTCTGCCCTAGACATTCTTTAGCATATCAATATTTTTGGAAGGCTGAAGAAATGGGTCAAAAAAGTAAGTGCCAGCATAAGGACCTAATTTGATCCCTAGGACCCATTTACAAAGCTGAGCATGGTGATGTGCAATTGTAACATCCTGGGCTGGGGCAGTGACTGGCAGATCCTCGAGGTTCTCTGGCCAACCATCCTAACTTCATCGGCAAGTTCCAAGCCAAGGAGAGACCCTATCTCCAAAACCAAAGTAGATGATTCTAAGAAACAAAACCGGAGGTTGGCTTCTGGCATCCACTTACAAGTGCGTATGTGTACAGGCACACTCACACATACATGTGTGCACGCGTGCACACACACTCACAAACACATGTAGGAAGCCGCTACCGCCGTAGTGCCGTCGAGACCAATCGCCATTACAAGATGGCGCTGACATCCGCTGACATCCCAATAAACAAGCTGTTGCGCATGTGTGGGAAGTGAGTGTGCGCCAACTCACAGCCCATCCCGGGGCGT